GCTTGGTCTGGTTTGGTTGGCTTAGCTGCCGGGTCCGGTTTGCAGGGAGGGGGCGCTCTCTCTTTTGCCCTCTGGGTCCCTGATGTGGGAGGCTTCTCGTTGGCCCCTCGTTATCTGCTCTCTGGGGTGCTCAGATGTTTATGGTAGCCCTCTGGCTCTTCTGAGTCCTCTGTGTGGGAGTTGCCCACTGGCTGAGAGAGCCAGAAGAACTACGGTTTCCCTGCTGAGGGCCACCCCTCCCCCCTCTCTGGGAGCCGCGTGGACCGGGATCGCTGATCTGATGGGGAGGGAGAGGAGTTCTCCTTACCTCTCCCCACTTCCTCTGGGGGCCCAGCACGTTCCACTCTCAGATGTGCAGCAGTGTGGATCTTTCTATCTAGCTTTTCACTGTCTGGGATTCTGTTGTTGGTCTGTGACTGTTCCTTTTGTTGTATCTTATCGGGGGAAGAGTTCCTGGGAAAGCTCACTCCGCCATGACGCTGACATCACCTCTCCAATCTTCGATAAACTTTCTTTTTTATATAGTCATTAAAATGTTAATAAAAATTTATATAATCAATTGTAAATGCTTAAGGTGAAATATTACAGGAAAACATACACAATTTGAGGTCCTGTTTGATCTCAGCTCTTTAAGGAAATGTGTGTATGTGTAAGCACATAATCATGACTCTGTCACTAGCTGTGTGATTTTGGCAAATTACCTATTCTCTAAACCAGTACTATCTAATAGAATTTTCTGTGATGAAGGAAATTGTTTATAACTGTGCTATCCAGCACAGTAGCCACTAGCCACAGGTAGCTATTGAGCACTTAAAATATGGCTCATGTGATTAACTGAATTTTTTTTTTTTTGAGGAGTATTGGCCCTCAGCTAACATCTTTTGCCAATCTTCCTCCTTGTTTCCTTTTTTCTCCCCAAAGCCCCAGTAGATAGTTATATGTCATAGTTGTATATCTTTCTAATTACTCTGTATGGGATGCCGCCTCAGCATGTCTTGATGAGCGATGCATGGGTCCATGCCCAGGATCCAAACTGGTGAACCCCAGGCCGCCGAAGCAGAACACACGAACTTAACCGCTACGCCACCAGGCTGGCCCCTCATGTGATTAACTGAATTTTTAAATTAATTTAAATTAACTTAATTTAAATAGCCACGTGCAGCTAATGGCTATTGATTTGGACAGAAACCTTAGTTTCATCATTTATAAAATGGGAATAATAGTATTTACCTCATTGAATTGTGAAGGTTAAGTGAGGATTTATGTTAAACGTTCCTGACACATAGTAAGCATTATATATATGCTCATCGTTATTATATATAAATAAGATATTTAAAAAAGAAGAAAATATACAAAAATCTTAACAATGGTGATCTTTTGGTCACGGTGTTATATAATGTTCTTTCTTTTTAATTTTTCATTATTGGGTATGTTATATAATCTGAAGTAAAATTTATTTTTAAATACTTATCAAAATGGAATGTAATTCTCTTTTTCTTCCTAAGGTTGCACATAGGCAAAGGGGTGCAGTTGGAATGTAAAGGTGAAGGTGATGTTTGGGTCAGGTGCCTTAGCGACCACGCAGTCTTTGTACAGAGTTACTACTTAGACAGAGAAGCCGGGCGTGCACCTGGAGATGCTGTTCATAAGATCTATCCAAGTGCATATATAAAGGTTAGTTGCAATTTTACTCAAATATTTTAGACTTTGGAAGCTGTGTTTGTTGTTTAAAGAATCAAGGTGGAGGTGGGAAAAGTAGAAAAATGTCTTTTTATGTGTTAAATAATCAGAAATTATTTTTGTGTATAAAACACATTTCCTGGGGCATTTATTGACCTGATTGGTTATCTAATTTTGTGGTTGCATTAATGCCCTATTGTTTAATTAGCAAATTTACTTAAAAGTTTTAGAGTAATGAGGGGCTCTTGAAAATATTGAGTGAAAGAAACCTTTAAACTTGTATTCCTTTGATATAAAATATGTAAAAATCAGTCTCTGGAATTTTATCTTAGCCAATATTCAGGATTTTATGAAAGGGAATTCTAAAATTAATAGCTTTTCAAATTAAGAACCTGAGAAATGAAAAATTCTTCAACACTAGGTTTTTTTTTTTTCCTTGAGGAAGATCAGCCCTGAGCTAGCATCCATGCCAATCTTCCTCTTTTTGCTGAGGAAGACCGCCCCTGAGCTAACATCTATTGCCAATCCTTCTCCTTTTTTTTTTCCATTTTTCTCCCCAAAGCCCCAGTAGATAGTTGTATGTCATAGTTGCACATCCTGCTAGTTGCTGTATGTGGGATGCTGCCTCAGCATGGCCGGACAAATGGTGTGTCCGTGCGCGCCGGGGATCCAAACCCGGGCCGCCAGTAGTGGAGCACGTACACTTAACCAGGCACGGGGCCAGCCCCACCACTAGGTTTTTTAAGGTTAGTTATTTTGTGCATTAAATGAGTTTTATTTGCTATATCATTTTGTAAATTAAGCCTGAGGTATTTTTCATTAATTATTACATATTCAGCCCATTTCAATTTTAGTTTATAACATACATTGTTTTTGCAAGAGAAAGATAGTTAAATATATGTATATATATATTTTTTATAATTTTATTTATTTATTTTTCCCCCAAAGCCCCAGTAGATAGTTGTATGTCATAGTTGCACATCCTTCTAGTTGCTGTATGTGGGACGCAGCCTCAGCATGGCCGGAGAAGCGGCACGTCGGTGCGCATCCGGGATCCGAACCCGGGCCGCCAGCAGCGGAGCGCGCGCACTCAACCGCCAAGCCACGGGGCCGGCCCTGAATATATTTTTAATTTCAGATTTTTCGCAGTCATCCTAAGCATTTTCCTTGTTAGCTACTGAAATTAGTGGAATTAGCTGTACCTCATTGCTTATTCCCAGGAAATTGCTTACCATACAAATAATATAGCCAAATAGTGTCTACAAAAATGGAATTGCTTGATTGCTTTTCAACAACAAACCCAGTATCTCATTTTTAGTCACTATAGTTCAGTTAAAAGATACAGGGATCTGTTTTTTAAATGAAACTTTCAAATATATCGAGTATAGAGAAAAATAATAAACCCCCATGTACCCACTAGCTAGCTTCAACAATTATCAGCATTTTACCAATCTTTAAGGTGTTTCTCTACTTTTTTTTCTTGTAGTAATTTAAAGCCAATTCCAAACATTATATTAGTTCACTCATAAAATACTCTGGTATGAATTGTTAATTGATAAATAGTTGTAGAAAATGTAATCACAAGCTATTTATCACACCTAACAAAATTAATAGTAATTCCTTGTTAAAAGTTTTGACAATTAGAGGACCATTTATAGGTTTGGTCTGTTAAAACAGTGCAATAGAATAGAACAATAAAATATTAAATTATATTTATCGATAGGATATTCATGGTGTGAAAAGGTGATTAAACAATACATAGAATATGATGGTGGTCTGGTGGTTAAGATTCGGTGCTCCCATGCCCATTGCCTGGGTTTGTTTCCTGGTCAGGGAACTATTGTTTATCAGTTGTCAGACTGTGTTGCTGTGATTCTGAAAGCCATGCCACCAGTATTTCAAATACCAGCAGAGTCACCCATGGTGGACAGGTTTCAGCAGAGCTTCCAGACTAAAACAGACTAGGTTGGAAGACCTGGCCACCCACTTCTGAAAAAATTGACCGTGAAAACCCTATGAATAGCAGCAGAGCATTGTCTGATATAGTGCCAGAAAGTGAGAGGGTGGCGCAAAAAGACTGGGCAGAGTGTTGCTCTGCTGTCCACAGGAATCAGCTTGCTGGCACTAACAACAAAGAATGTGATCCCGTTTTTATTAAAGAGATAGTGTCATGGAATTTGTATTTGTTTATATATACCCACAAGTCTAGAATGGTGTGTACAATGTCTTATTGGGAATTGTCTCTGGGAAGTGAAATTATCTTTATTTGTGTTTTTCAATTTTTCCACAAGGAATTTTAGTTGTTTGTGCTTTGTTATTATTTTTAAATGGTGTTGGATTGCCTCAAATGTTTTGTAATCTATTTTATGTTTGACTTGAGAGAATTAATTCATTTTATTTTTATTTTTTACTTTTCCCTCTCTGTCATTGCTTCTCCCTATAGAGCAGTTTTGCCTTAGTCTGGCACCTTGGGGTTCACATTTCAGAACCAGTTATTATATTTAGGAGGTAGAGAAATTTTGTCCCTTGAGGAAATTGAGTTCCAATCCCCAGGGTATTCTCAGGGCCTAATTCCTGTTGCATAGGTTTCTCTGATGCTTACCTCTGCTATGGGCAAGAATTTTATTCCTAGGTACATTTCTGGTTAGCTGTCAAAGTATTTTACCAGCATTTGATTCATGGGCAGGTGCCCAGTTGTAGCCCTCAGAGAGCCTGGTTGTTGTGTCTTTCCATATTACTCTAAGAAGTCGAATTCCTGTTCTCTACACCTTCTGTTTTTGTTCTTATCGTGCTGCTATGAACATTCATGTACAAGTTTTTAGATAGATGTATGTTTTTATTTTCTTGGGTATATACCTAGGAATGGGATTGCTGGATCATGAGGTCATTCCGTGTTTAACTTTTTGAAGGACTGCCAGACTGTTTTCCAAAGTGGCTGTGCCGTTTTACTTTTCCACCAGGAATGTATATTTGAGAGTTTCAATTTCTCTGTATTCTCATGAACACTTGTTATTATCTGTCTTTTTTATTTAGCTCCTTGTGGACTTGAAGTGGTATCTCGTTGTGCTTTTGATTTGCATTTCCCTAATGGCTAATTATGTTGGACATCTTTTCAAGTGCTTATTGGCCATTTGTATATCTTCTTTGGAGAAACATCTGTTCAGATCTTTTGCCCACTTTTAATTGTTCTTTTTACTGTTGAGTTGTAAGAGTCCTTTATGTATTCTGGGTCCCTTATCAGATAAATGATTTGCAAATATTTTCTTCCATTCTTTGGCATGTCTTTTACTTCCTTGGTGATATGATTTGCAGCACAAAAGTTTTTAATTTTTTTTTCTTTCTTTTGTTTTTTTGTGAGGAAGATCAGCCCTGAGCTAACATCTGTGCTAATCCTCCTCTTTTTGCTGAGGAAGACCAGCTCTGAGCTATCATCTATTGCCAATCCTCCTCCTTTTTTTTTCCCAAAGCCCCAGTAGATAGTTGTATGTTATAGTTGCACATCCTTCTAGTTGCTGTATGTGGGACACGGCCTCAGCATGGCTGGACAAGCAGTGCGTCAGTGCACGCTCGGGATCCGAACCCGGGCCGCCAGTAGCAGAGCACGCGCACTTAACCGCTAAGCCACGGGGCCAGCCCAAAAGTTTTTAATTTTGATGTAGTCCAATTTATCTATTCTTTGGTTGCTTGTGCTTTTGAACCATTGCCTAATGCAAGGTCATGAAGATTTACTCCTATGTTTTCTTGTAAGTGTTTTATAGTTTTAGTTCTTACCTTTAGGTTTGTGATCCTTTTTGTTAATTTTTGTGTGTGGTGTAAGGAAGGGATCCAGCTTCATTCTTTTGCTTGAGGTATCCAGTTGTTCCAGCACCATTTGTTGAAATGACTCTTCTTTCCTTTGTTAAATTATCTTAACACCTTTGTTGCAATTTAGTTGACCTTAAATGTAAAGGTTTATTTCTGGGCTACCAGTTCTATTTTGTTGATCTATGTATCTATCCTTATGACAGTACTGCTCTGTCTTGATGACTGTAGCTTTGTAGTAAGTTTTGAAGTTGAGAAGTGTAAGTTCTCCAACTTGGTTCTTTTTCCAGGATTGTTTTGGCTATTGCCAGCCCTTTGTATTTCCATATGAATTTTATGATTGGCTTGGAGGATATCTATTTTAATAGTTTTTCCATTCTTTGCATGTGTTTGGAGCAGAGAGAGAAGGTGATTATGCATACCTACTCGTCCATCGTGACTGGAAGTCTCTGGATTACTTGTGTAATTTGAAGTGAATGGACAGAGAACTACAGTGTTGAATATATACTATGTGCCAGACAGTAGTTATGAACTTATCGGATGTGGGGTAGTATTTAAAACATTTGAGCTTAAAAAATGTGGAATCTTGTATAATTAAAGTGATTTTTAGGATTGTCAAATAAATGTAACATCTCTATTTTGGTACAAATGGCTCTTTTTCAGTCCCCAGGAGATGAGATATGTCATCACCTGATAAACCACTGTCATGGATGGATTTTTATAGTAATCTCAGGCTTTTACTATGAACAATAAATAACTGTCTTGTGGGATATTTTAGTGGAGTAAAAAACAGCTTTCCATTTTTGTCATATTAACTAAGATGTAAAAAATTAATTCTGTTTACCAAGTATATTATTGTTCTTCAGAAGAGTCGTCTTGTTAGCCAGAAAGAGATGCAGGTATACTGTAAATCTAACCATTGGCATTTTCTTCATTTGCTAATTTTTTGGGCAGCAGTAACTAATTTGTGAATCGTTTGCAGATCACATGGACCCCTGGAGGGAGTGCCCACAATTGAGAAGACCCCCTCCAAACACACACACACACACACACACACACACACACACACTCTTTTCCCTTTTTAGTTAAAATAAGGAAAACATAGGTTTGGAGAGCCATTCTTTCATTTTATAAACCAAGAAGCTGGAACTAAATTGTCCGGGTTTTTCTCTTCTAAGGTGTTGATTTTTTTC